AAAAAAAAAAAAGAAAAAAAAAATAAAAAAGAAAAAATGATGATCACAGGGATCCATTTGTATGGGAGCGTTTTCAGATCGTTTTCTCTAATACCAACCTTTCTGCAAGCACTGCTGATCCTTCTTCGAATAATTCCTCTATTATACCCATAGCCGATAGCCTCCTCGACAATTTATTAGCACATTTTTTCCGAAAGAGCAAAGCTCTAAGCTTGTGAAATTTCTTGGGTGGTGTAGGAGGCTGAATTGTGTTCTCTGGAGGTATTATATCGACGACTATGCAAGTCGTGTCGTCCTTTAGCCCGCGTGTCCTTAGTGCCTCCTATACAATGGTTGATGCATAAAAAAATAATAATAATAATAATAAAAAAAAAAATCTCATCGGCTGGTGTATACGTGTACAAAATAAAGAAAAAAAAAAAGAATAGTTGGAAGTATATATTTTACGGAATCAAATTATATTTCTGAAAACAGAAAGACGAGCATGGAATGTTCTCAATTGATTGGTTTAAAAGGTATATAATCTTAAACACTGTCATTGTAATTGAAGCCTGAGGTTTTCTTTGACTACCAAACACCCAAAAGATCTCAAAAAAAACATTACTAAAATCCCCATGATGTTTGATTTAGTCATACATTTTTCAAGTTCATGAGAAAACTAATAAAATTACTACTGGACCAAATCTGATGCATTCATTGTAATTTTGGCTTTTTCGGTAAATATATCATCATAAAATTAAGTACCTTGACTACCAGCCGAGCAGCAAGTTCGGCAGGCAAGCCACGACACGATTTAGCAGCAACTTCTGATGACAGCGCGTCCCATATGCCATCCGAGGCGATTATGAGCCGTCCACCTTTACTCGGTAGCTTCATCGTGAATTGTTGATGAAACAAGTCAGTGATTCAAACAGAACTGGCTTCGCATTAAGCAAACGCTGACAAACTACATGATTTCTCAATGAGAACTACGTAAAATGAACTTATCATAAAAATGCATAATCACATAAACTACATGATTTCTCAAGAGTATTCTTTTTCTTAATAACTGAAATTTCTATGGACTTATTGTTTACAAATCTTCGGGGTGATTTTTGAAATTATTTCTAATACAAAAAAAAAATAATAATAATAAAATAATAATAATAAATAATAATAATAATAATATTAATAATCATACCTTCACTTGCTTGACATATGGTATCGGAACAATAAATTCACCCACATCCATGTCCCCAATTGACCTGGAGAGACATAAACCGCCTGGCCAACAACGTAGAGGACCCACCTACCAAATTAGTCCAAAAGTTACATCACATAATGATCACAAAATATTCTTTTGAAGCAAACTCCAAGGTTTTCCTATGCATTGGCAGTTTAAAGATCATATGGGACTATGGATCAATTACCAAAGTAGTAAAAAATCATTCAAAATTACACGTATCCCAAATATTTGTTACCGTTTTACAGTCGCACGCCTAGTATAGCAGCAAACTCGATAAGTAAAACTACAGTTGTTTATAATACAAAAGAGTGTAAGGCACTTGATTCTTCTCTTTTGATTAGACCAAACCATAGAGTAATTATGTAATTAGTTTAAGGGAGCTCACCCCAGTCCCTCCAAAAATGTTAAGCCTTCCAACTTCACCTCCACTCGCAGTTACGCGCTCTCTCCTGCAGTTTTAAAGGCAAAAGAAAAACATTGGGTTAACCACGAAAAGCTATACTTGATTTTTATCCCGATAGCTAATACGAAAGCGCCACCTATAGCATCCACCTGAAATCGGCAACTACTTTATGAATAACCCAGCTCGGGAGTGAGATAGAACCCATTGTGAAGGGTATACATAATTTTAAAACATAACTGGGTACATTTGTAATTAGACAGACTAGACCTCAGAGGGTAAACTTTGTAATTAATGATAAATTTTTTTCCATGAGAACCAGGAGATGAACAAAGAATAAGAAACTAACTCCTCCTCATTTTCTTCAAGCCTATGATCGACTGTCAAGACAGAGACAGCTCCACCCTCAGAATCCAAAATGCAACGGGAATCACCGACAGAGGCCACAGTGACTGTCCAACCGTCAATTATCACAAATGTTGCAGTTGTTCCAGAAGTTTTTCCTGCTGATTATAAACGATAAAGGATAAAAGGGAGAAAAAAAATATCAGCTTTCTAAGTATGCCATGTGTTATTTATTATCTAATGGTAAAATGGAGTACAGTATGAGGCCGTGCCTTTGCTTTGAAACTCTTTGTCGGTTTTGACAAATCCGGAAACTAAAGCCCGAGGTAATGCGTGAAGCCATTCTTCCCTTTCAAGCCCACTAGGAATGGCATCCAACACGTAACTTAAGAGATGGTCTCTTGAGAAAATTGCAGCGGCATCTCCATTGTGCCCATCAAATATCTGCAAAATCGGGTATGTTTAATAATTAGCCATTATCTAAAAACATGACATAACAAGAAATCGTCTATATGATGGGTCGTTGATATGGCAACGACGTGGTGCTAGTCCAAATGTGATTTTATGCACTCATTTCAAAAGAAAAGTGATTGCAAGGTATGCTTATGACTGCATAATATCACCAGAATCTAGAAACAAAAGAAGAATGCTGCAAATTTCGGATTCCTCTGGATTTGACTTTTAAGCACATATTAAACCAATTTTAAATTTAGTTTTTCAACACTCTAAATTGCCCTATCGACTTTTTCGCTTCTACATGGAAATGCTTCTATTTCTGATTCTCAGCTAATTTTTCATTTGTGCAACAGCAAACAAATTCCTCCAAAAGCAGACACAAGGACAAAAACTCCCTAGCAATATTCCACACTATTTAACAGAATGTGGACTCAACAACCATAGAAAAAGCAGTTTCCATATTCCAGATATGCATAAAATTGATTTTTTTTTTTTTTTTTCTTTCCCCTCACTGAAATAAAAGCAAATGACCACAAACAACCAGGCAGCAACAATGAGAAAACAGCTAAAATTATCAGAAAGTTGAAAGAAGTGGCTGACATACTCCGAAAACAGAAAAGGAAGTCGACGGATCTTCAGGAATTCTATGGCAATCGTTCTTGATCAAGAAATAATCTTCGCCTTTCCTAGATTGAGCAGCAGAGCCATATCTAATTATTGGCTTCTCCTTTTTCTCATTCTTCAGCTCTCTACTGATTAGTGTAGCCAATGGCACCAGATCGTGATGATGCCGATTACGCCGTTCTTCACTCGATCCCATTTCCAAAGCCCACAGAGCTCTCTCCCTCCAAGAACTCCCAACTTATACTAAAAGTTACACTGTTTCAGTTCAACAAACCCAAAACTACACACAAATCTCATCATTCTCCATCATCAATAACCACTCCACAAAAAACAGCAAATCCCTAGCTAAAGTAAAACCCAGTAAAGAAAACAAATTTGGGAGTTCTACAGAGACCCCAAGTCCAAAAACTCTCTGTGCAAAAATTTGCAAGCACATACAAAATGTACACCAATATAACACAAGATCTCAAAAACCCAGAAAGCTACTTACTCTGAAAGATAAAGAAAGAAACAAAAGAACAGCTATAAAAGCAAAAACAAAATGTAAAGATAAGATTCCAAGAGAAAATAAAAACATGGGATTACCACAAAAAGAAGAAGATTATGTTGAATTTTTTTTTTTTCTTATTTTTTTCCTTCGTTTATTTGATTTATTCCTTGAGAAACAAAGAATGCCTCAAAATGCAGATCTGATGGCGACTGGAAAACCGCACGAATCCACTCAAAATTGGAGTAGTAAAGAAGAAGGAACGAAAATTTTGAAAAAGGAAAAACCATAAAATATCGACAATGAAATGAACCAAACGCGGATTGATGACAGACAGGGAATGAACTGTAAGTGCGAGAGCGAGACCCACCGATTATGAACAACTCTTTCTTTATAAACTTGGATTTTTAATTTAATGAAAAAACATTCTTTAACAAAATTACGCAACCAGGTTGAATATTAAATGGGGACATACAGATCAGAAAGGCAGACTGACAGGTATTTTTTGGGCAAATATATTGAAAAGCTTACAACAAGTGCCAATAATGCTAATGCTAATTGATTGAAATGTGTAGCGTAGTATTATTATTATTTTTTTTTTCCTTTCGAACGTTGGTGATCCGTATCATAGAAGAGCTTGGTCCTAAATCGGGGCTAATGAGTAGCTCGAATCTCGATTGGGCTCCCGTAGCTTGACATAGACGAGATAGGTCGAGGTAGTTTCCAAAAGACGGTAGGTCGAGTTACCGACCGTTGTCTTGCATGACGAGACGACTTACCTGATCATTAATTCAACTTTGTCGAGTTGTCATATCTCCGAAGGGTTGTCTGGGCTCGACCTAATTAGGAGCTGGCAGAGGCGTTAAATGCATGACACTTAATGAAGGCGTGATTATTAAGATTCGAGATATATGAAAGGAGATCTATCGTAAGAAGTTATGTTTGTGTCTGGTTTCCTTACGAAAATAAAACTCTTGAAAACAGTGCAATTAATCTCTATATAAAGGTTTATGTATGATCATTATGAGTTTACGTACTATTTTATCACTATCAGATACCTATCATATATGAGAGACTGACTTGATCGACGGAAGCTCTATGTGTAAAATCATCCCGACGCTTTTTCAGGTACTCGATTGGAAGAGAATGTCAATCATGATTCGGAGATTCAAAGAGAATGGGCTAACCAAATCTCGTAGCTATTTGATATATTCCTACCAAATTGGCGTCATCTTTAGGAAAACTCGGTTCTACACAGATTCAGCGGTACTACACTTTTTCTTCCCCAATCCAAACAAAGTTGAAGACGTCAATGGTGGAGAAGAAAGTACCTAACGTGCAGAAGGTTTGCAATGACACATGGCTGGAAAAGTGACCTTTGTGGTCGGGCCCACCTTCGGGATGGCTCGTTAGCAGGGTATCACCAAGAACCCCGGTTATGAGGTCCCTCATCCCCAAGAGACGCGGATACAATCCCCAGATGAGTTGATCCAAGAGGGCAAGTCGGAAGACCCATACGCTAGCGTTTAGGACCTTCTCAGGTGTTGGAGGTCATTGAGGAGAATGAGAGGCACTCGCCCACGTGCAGGAGGTAGTCCCAGCCGGTGTGTAAGGTCGAACTAAT